ATATAAATGATACCGTGCAATCAGTCGACCTTATCGCCTGAAGAAGACTAGCAGTAAGCAGTCGAAACGTCGCGATCTACATCTCAAGTGACTACATCGTGAGACAAACGATAATACACTTTATTATCGAAAAACAAATAGCGCCAAATGCAAGTATTTGTATTTCGGTCTCATTCGAGTGGTCACAGGCAATAGTTGTACGCCTTGTACAGCGTAATGGCCGTGTTTACCAAGGGTTTCAGACTTGTCATGCGTGTAATATTATAACACAAACACTTACGTGTTGTCAAAAGAAGCTATTGTGAGAGACATGGTACGTTAGTCGCTTGGTGACAAATTTCAATTGAGCGGGTTCCCAATTCAGATGCGTTCGTCTGGACGAATTATTCACCTGACATATCTAATGCTTCTATTTTAATCTATTTTTGTTCTACTTTGTTCTATTTTTTCTATATTAATCTATTTTTAGGCGCATGAAACTATTTAGTTCTTCTGGCGTGTGCCGGATTCGTCTTGTTTTCCGTCTTTACCTAGACGCATAATATGCTTATTTGGCAGGGACGCATTATTCGTATGCGTGGATAAATACCGCCAAAGTAAAAAAGTCATTGAAAGATCTGCGGTGCGCCTTTTAGCATGTGAAGGGATAAATGTAAACAAACATCCGGGATATCAAATGATATGTAGTTCTGTTAGTATGAGTAAAAACCGCTTATTTCATCATTGAAGATCACACAGATGACCCGACTCATTAAAGAGGAGTTTATCAATGGCCTTGAATCACTACCCTGGATGTCTAGCATGACAAGGGCGGCTGCAACAGAAAAGGTGAGGTGATCTGTGGTAAAAAAAGGTTTAATACAACGAAAGAAACAATTTGTTTGCTAAGAAGTTGCCTTGGAGCGACTGCGGGATTTTGGAAACGACACAACGACTGAAGCCAAAGGCGACAAACAATTATTATGAAATATTATATGAAATACATTGTAATAAATATCATCAGAAGTTAACGTTTGTAATAAATTCTTAGCTTTTACAAGAGAAGCTAAGAAGAAGGATAAGAGAGTTAATCCTCCATATCGGCTTACTCCCAACGAAATCCTTCCGAAGTTACTTTAAGACATGGTACCCAGTTCTTCCGCGGATATATGCGTGTATATGTTTTCGCACAGGATTAAAATGCGTGTAAATCCCTTTGGGCTGTTCACGTGAGCAACATCCCTGTCGCAGGATCGAGTATTTCTAGACCCTTCTGGGATTATCGAAACCAAGAATGATCTAAAATAACCTTCAGAGGGATTACCTTGTGAATAAGGCCTACAACTATATATGGCCGTCTAACTGTCTTGCCCTTCCGCTTCTCTTGACTTGTGACATCATATGAGCAAGTTTGGTGGCTTTAGTGTGGATAGTTACGGCCTGTAATACTAAACACGAATCCCTGCAGTCCCTAAATTAAATTTCCAGTTATCTGATTTTTGAAAGCTTAGGACATCATTACTTCATAACTTCAGAAGAACTTCCCGTTTAGACTTTGAAAGGGTAATTCCACATATTTTTCAGCTTTTAGACGCTCCTGTTCAGAAAATGTCGTAAAATCTAATCATGGAAAATATAATAGCGTTTAAAAACACTATTTACAGGTAAAAGTGTTGAAATGAATTGTGGAAAAATAACTTTCCATGCATCAATGTATCTTTTACTAAAATGTCCGTCTCGCTCTGTCTTCCATGTCTGCGAATGGCTACATCAAATCTAAGAATATGTATGTACATTAACTTCTCGTTTTTGCGGTCAGTGATATCGTAGCATAATGGTAAATAATAATAATGATAATGATAATGATAATGATAATGATAATGATAATGATAATGATAATGATAATGATAATGATAATGATAATAATAATGGTATCTCTTCTTTTTTCCATCTTTTCTGTAGGCTAACGCTATCTCAGAAGACATTGGTTATCCAAGCTACATCAAGAATCCAACAGAATTAGCTGCTAAAATCAAAGGAGTAAGTTTAACAAACTGACGTCAATTTGTTTTGTTTACGGTAACAAATTATCAAATTGTCCGCTCTCGCTGGTTGCCCCATCGCATAAATTTTAAATTCATGTGTCTGTCCGCTTATTGACAATGAAAATTAGCCAATGGGCGCGCGAGAATTTCTGCAGTTGTCGTAAAAAAAAAAATCACTCGCACTTTTTTCCCGCGCTTTTACGTCAGCTACGTGTAAATACTTCGATCGAGGTTTGATTGGTTCACTAGTTTGTCTGCGTCCTTTGTGATTGGTGAGAGTGATAACTTTGGTTTTGGTTTTAAATTTCTCTAGGTTTATATCTTTTACCACCATTTCTTTCTTGTCTTTTTTTTTTCGTTTCACAGCTGAAAGTAGAGGATAATCTCTTTGAGAGTGCAGTCAACATCCACACGTTTGTCGCTGATGAATCGTACGGATCTCTGGATAAGCCTGTCGATAGGGATCAGTAAGGAAATTAGGGCTCACTTGTGATTAAAGCGATTTTTCGAGCTTTTATATTCTCTGTAGAGTGAGATTGATGCCCTGGGTAAATAGAGATTTAATATGATATTGTTTATTCACTAATTCTGATTTGTTTTTTGACATGTGTAGATGGTTCCTGGGCCCATCTCAGGTGAACGGTTACTACTCACCGAGGCAAAACCGAATTGGTAAGTACCGTGACTGTTTTATGTGCCCATGCTTTGCAGATATGCCAAACCATCAGTGAGCCGCCTATGGAGTCCCGTGGAATGGCGCCCAACGCGTTTCTTTCAATACTAGATCAGAGCCCGGTTGCTCAAAAGGGGGTTAAATTAGCCGTAGGTTTGTTAACACGAGGGTAAAATAACATTGTTCAAAACAGGATTGTTGGGTCAGTTAGTTACTCTCGGGTTAAGGGAGTTAAACTGTATATAATATTGTTTGGTGGTTTTGGACATCGAAATAGCTTCCCTTCAAGCTAAGAAATGTTGAATATCGCCCAAAGCAAGTTAAACAACGGTGAATCAAAATATCTTAACTGTCTGTTTTTCAAATCATTTTAGAGCACGTCTGTCGAGATCATGACTTAATTTTGTTTTCGTAAGCCTTGCATGCCTTCGTTACACACAGAAAGATAACCTACTCATTTTTCTCGATTTTCTTTCCTAACTTAGCTTCGAACAACAGATCTAACATAACGCATGATTGAATTTAACACCGAGTTAATTAGATTAAGACCAAGATGGGAAAATATACATGAACACAACTAGGCAAATCTTATTTCACTTTTAACTGCTAACTAATATTTCTCGTTCGGCCTGTTAGTCCCAGCAGTCAATATATAGAATTAAATTTATCGAAAGCATTTTGACCGGGGTGAGTAAAGATCTTGTTCTACTAGTATTAAGTTATGACTGGGCGTCGTTAAAATAATAATTGCTTATCAAATATTTGATTTATTGATTCATTTATTCTATTTACTTTCTCTTTGTTCTGGTATAGTTTTCCTAGCGGCCATTTTGCAACCTCCGTTCTTCAATCCCAGCTACCCCAAGTAAGTTTTACTGGTCAAACTCATTAATGACATAACAAACTGAAAATAACACAGTTCAGTTCAAGTCGCACAAGCACAATGTAATAAGACGTTTATACTCTAATCACCCTGAAACGATTATAAAGTATTTTGTAACACAGCATTATGAGTGGGCATCTCGTTTATTGATACTTGATACAGCGAGCGTACGTCATCATATAGAAAATACTGCAGTGAATTAACAATAATATAATTAAATAAATATCAAAGTTGAAAGAGATGCCTTTGAGTTGCTCTTGCATAACTTACAAATCTTAAATAGCCTACTAGCACCTAGTAAGTATGCCCAAAATACTTCAACATTGAACACGAATCATACATGATGAACGTACTCCAGTGTAATTAGCAAAACGTTACAAAATGTATTTTATTCCTATTGTTCAGGTACTTTAACTATGGTGGTATTGGCATGGTGATTGGTCATGAGGTAACACACGGATTTGACTCCACAGGTATGAATGATTCAAACGGTGCCCATGAAACCAAATGAAAAAGTTGCCCCAGATAGTTCTGTGGCATTGATGATAATGTTTTGACAGAAAATTTTTCTATTGTAACTTTATTTTCTCCCTCGACCTTCCTGAAGACAAGCCATCAAGGAAGGCATTTGCTTGCGCGGCCATTTCGATTTGTTGAAGTCACAGGGTTTGCACAACTCGCGCAAAAAGTCATTAGATATATACTAAAGATGGTACTAAAGATGAAAATATTTCATTTCAAAGGCTATCATATATTATCCTATCATGCTCTAATGCCGTACTGATTACAACCACAGACAAGAGAATTCGAAGCTGGAACTCTGAAACAAAAGAGGACAACACATTTACACTGCACGTATACTTTTCTCTTTAACTAAGTTCCCATTTCCCATTCAATGCCTAAGATCTGTTTGTCGTTTAGCTAGTCAGCACAATAATTATGTAAAGTAACTTTTCATTCACCTTCAGGCAGACTTTTTGACAAAGATGGAAATGTGAACAACTGGTGGTCTCTCATGTCATTGAATGGATTTTCCATAAGAGCAACCTGTCTTTCCAAACAGTATTCCGAATTTGACGTTTATGGCAAAAAGGTAAAATGGCGAGCAGTGTTCCATTACGCTTGATTGACGGTATAGAGAAGAAAACTGTAACTGACTTTGAGGTCCGTACTGTAAGATGCGGACCTGGGAAAAAAAAAGCGAGGATCGTAACTTACAGTACGGACGGAGAAGGGAGATGATCTACTGTGTTCCTGACGAGTTCGGAAAACTATTTTTACACGTGCGGACTGAATGCCTCATGATCAAATGACTGACGCACGTTGATGCAAGAGTCTCGATGCAAGAGGAGTTAATTCGACATTGTTTTAAGTCGTTAGCACGTTTTGATACAACTCAAAGAAAGCGAACGTTTTAACTTTTATTCGCCCTGTAAGTTAAGAACACTTGACTATAAATCACGAGACGTTTTGGACACAAAAGCAGCTTTAAATTTTAGAGGGCTATACAGTATAATACGGCCCGCTTAATTGACCAATCCCAACGCGCGTATAGTAATTGACAGATATAATAAAGTCCGATATGTGCAAAAGTTATAGATATCAAGACCTTGCTTTGAGGTACTAAGCTTCCTTTTAACGTTGCATTAGGTCTCAGTACACACTGCAGAGAAGGTGACCTTAATTAAACTAAAGCCCCGGCCAAACGATCGCAACATGTCAACGCAACATATCGCAACACTGTGCAACGTATTGTGCGCGTGTGGCCACCTTGTTGCAACATGATGCGACGTGTTGGTTGTTGTTGCCCAAGTTTGAAACTGTTCAAATTTTTCATGCAACATTTGTGTATGTTGCATGATGTTGTACTCGTTTGGCCAGGTTCGTGCAACAATGTTGCGCCCTGGTATGTGCATTAGTTCGATTTTCAACACTCAATATGTTGCAACACGTCGCAGCAGGGTGGCCAAACGCCCGCAACACGTTGCACAATGTTGCGATATGTCGCGTTGAGATGTTTCGATCGTTTGGCCGGGGCTTAAGCTATCCGCCTAGATATTTGTATTTTTGGTAAATTCTTGAAATTTTGAAAGGTGAAAATCCTTTTCTGCTTTCAGATAAACGGGAACCAAACACTTAACGAAAACATAGCGGATAATGGAGGGATCAAACTGGCATTCAACGTAAGACAGTCTTTCATAATTGTGAATTTAATTTTGCACTTAAAGAAGGATGTGATTGTGATTGTCGAGCATTTTCTAAGTATGCAAAAATAGGGGGGACAAACTCGTCAGAGTAAGCGTGTGACGTTAACAGTTACAACGATACGCCGGAGACCAGGGGAGCAAAGCATACAAGTGCCTCGCCCCAAAAATCTGCGCAAAATTTTTCCAAGATTGTCCACTTTCTTTCTGTCAGTCTACAATCTCTCAGTTTCGTGGTTTTTTATCTTTTTCCTTGAGTACTTTTCTTCGCTTTATCCTGGTCTGTTTCATTTAGTTTTCTCCAATTTTTTTTCCTCAGGCATATAAAAAGTTGGTGGAGAAAGAAGGCACAGATGGAGCTCTCCCTGGACTAGGATTGACAGAGGAACAACTGTTCTTTGTTGGATTTGCGCGGGTTGGTATAATAGAGAAAATTAATCCTCACAAGCATTTTTTCTAACATTTTTGTGATTTAACTTAGAATTTGACAAAATGCAAGTGTAATACGTTCTTAGAGTAATCATTTGGTTATCTGTTCAACACAGTGGAAGACAAATCACGAGTTTATCTCTCACCTTTCCAATTGCATCGTTTACGGCTTTGGCATTTTCTTCCTTTTTAAGAGTGTTTTTGTTGTTGTTTTTTGGAGACTTGCTGATCATCAAATAAATAAACCCACGCTGAATGTGTTGAAACCGAGAACCTAGATGTGTTTAGACTAAAATGGTCCGCTTTCAAGTACACATTCAGTAGTTTTACTTTATTCAAAGAGTACAGTACTGATTGTAAGGAATCCTTCTTTTTTGGTTTTGTTTTTTCGTCAGCCATGGTGTAGCATTTACAAAAAGAAAGCAGCTCTTCTTCAACTTGAGACTGACTCGCATTCGTTCCCTCAGTACAGGTGAGTCCATGTTGTCTGTCCGTTGTTGACTATCTGTGCTCTGTGCTCTGTGCTCCGTGCTCCGTGCTCCGTGCTCCGTGCTCCGTGCTCCGTGCTCCGTGCTCCGTGCTCCGTGCTCCGTGCTCCGTGCTCCGTGCTCCGTGCTCCGTGCTCCGTGCTCCGTGCTCTGCGCTCTGCTCTCTGCGCTCTGTGCCCTGTGCTCTGTGACTGGTATTGACTCTTGCCAGTGACTGTAAAACCCGTTTGATTTTGCTGTGCTCTGACGAAGAGGTGACGTTCGCTGCGGCGGTAACTGACCTGGCAAACAGCCTCGTTCCCAAGGTCTCCTTACAGACCCCGAGAACGAGGTTGGTTGATAAGTCTTCTACCACCAGGGTTCCTTTGAATTCTGATTGGTGGAGCAAAACTCACCAAAACGTTCTTATTCCGTGTTTTCTCTTTCAGGATAATCGGTACTCTTCACAACTATGATAAATTCCAAGAGGCATTTAAATGTAAACCTGGATCTGGTATGAACCCGGATAAAAAGTGCAGCCTTTGGTGATTGGAGTTATTTAGTTTTCCATAAGTTTTCCATTTGATTTCAATCAACAGAGAATACAGATAAATACGACAAAAATAAACCCGTTTAAAAATTCTTTAGATATCTCAGTAACCCACCATTTTTTTTATCAATAAGTAAATTCAATTGCTTACAGTTGTTATATTGCTTCTCCGTTGTGCCAATGATTTATGCATTATGCAATGCTTCATCGTTTTTTTTTTGTTTTTTTTTTTGTTTTTCATGAGGTATATATTATAAAATCAGTATTAAGTGTTTATCTTCAATTCAAATTTTATGTCATTGCCACTTTGTTGTATGTATGTAAGATATTGTCATATTTTCTTTAAGCTGCATTTTTTTTGGGTAGATTAAAGTATTTTTTGTATAAAATTTGATTAAATTCGAACTTAAAATTTAAAGTGCACCTAACCTCAAAAATGTTTTTTCGCTAAAACGAATCTACTTGTTATTTGAAATAGTTCTGCGAAAAAATTTTGGATTCCGTTAAATCCTCGATTTTCTGTGCCCCGACGAAATCTCGAAAATAGC